TTAAGGGGAGGTTATATTTGAAAATTACTTGAAAATTGGCATAAAATAAAAATAAAATAAATGATAATAAGATGAAATGGCAAAAACTATGCACCTACAATTTTAGAATTGCGGAGGGGCTATGCTACTTATGTGGACAGACAATTTTAGTATTGCGGAGGGGCTATGCTACTTATGTGGACAGACAATTTTAGTATTGCGGAGGGGCTATGCTACTTATGTGGACAGACAATTTTAGTATTGCAGAGGGGCTATGCTACTTATGTGGACAGACAATTTTAGTATTGCGGAGGGGCTATGTTACTTATGTGGACAGACAATTTTAGTATTGCGGAGGGGCTATGTTACTTATGTGGACAGACAATTTTAGTATTGCGGAGGGGCTATGCTACTTATGTGGACAGACAATTTTAGTATTGCGGAGGGGCTATGCTACTTATGTGGACAGACAATTTTAGTATTGCGGAGGGGCTATGTTACTTATGTGGACAGACAATTTTAGTATTGCGGAGGGGCTATGTTACTTATGTGGACAGACAATTTTAGTATTGCGGAGGGGCTTTTTAACTTATGTTGACATTTTTTTTTAATTGGAATCAACTGGAAAAACATTACCTATCTGACTTAAGGCTGTGTATGTGAAGCTCAATTTTCAATTTTGATAGACTTTTTTCATATTATCAACTTTTCACTCCAGACTTTACAGAATTTTGACATGCTACAAACTATGTGGTAGTCTATCCTGGTATTCGGTCATGTGGACAGACAATTTTAGTATTGCGGAGGGGCTATGTTACTTATGTGGACAGACAATTTTAGTATTGCGGAGGGGCTATGCTACTTATGTGGACAGACAATTTTAGTATTGCGGAGGGGCTATGCTACTTATGTGGACAGACAATTTTAGTATTGCGGAGGGGCTATGTTACTTATGTGGACAGACAATTTTAGTATTGCGGAGGGGCTATGTTACTTATGTGGACAGACAATTTTAGTATTGCGGAGGGGCTTTTTAACTTATGTTGACATTTTTTTTAATTGGAATCAACTGGAAAAACATTACCTATCTGACTTAAGGCTGTGTATGTGAAGCTCAATTTTCAATTTTGATAGACTTTTTTCATATTATCAACTTTTCACTCCAGACTTTACAGAATTTTGACATGCTACAAACTATGTGGTAGTCTATCCTGGTATTCGGTCATGTGGACAGACAATTTTAGTATTGCGGAGGGGCTATGTTACTTATGTGGACAGACAATTTTACTATTGCGGAGGGGCCATGTCACTTATGTTGACATTTTTTTGTAAAAACTTAATGTTTATCGGGTAGAAAAAAGTAATGAACTGGAATCACCTAGTAAACATTACTTATCTGATTTAAGGCTGTGTTTTTGTTGGTTTTTGTGAAGCTCAATTTTCAGTTTTAATAGACTTTTTTCATATTACCAACTTTTCACTCCAGATTTTACAAATTTTAGACATGTTTTAAACTATGTGGTAGATTATCCTGGTATTCGGTCAAGTAGGAGTAACCAAAAGAAGTTAAATCAAACATACAATCAGTGCTTTTGGGTGGGAAAGTTTAGTAGTTTTCCGATGATTTTATCGTGTATAGACAATATAAAACTATTAATGGTCTCCCTAAATTTAAAAATAGTATATTAAAGCAGTGTCCGTCGCGAAGAACTAAGTATTAGTAATCATACCACATTTCCTGGTGGACTCAGTTGTATGCATACATTTTTCATTGTATTTCTTATGTTTTTTTTCCTCGAGTTATGGTCTATACACCCCAACAAACACCCCACACCCACCCCGTGGCTTTTACTCCCGATTTTTTTTTCACAAGGAACACAGTGCAGATATTAAAGTCTAAGAGTGTTTTAGTCCCTTTTGCAGACTTAGTCATAATTTTAATAAAAATGGATTGTAGGTAATTTTGTACAATACCCTTATATACAGTCTGATCCCACAGATTTTCTTTTTGTTTACAAAGTTTTTCCATGCATGTCTGCGAAACTTCATAACCTACTGTTTCTGCAATGGAACCAGCAGTTTGTGCCCCGAAATATTTCAGATATTTGAGTTTTTATGTGGACGTTCACAGCCATGTCCATGTCAGGTTTTATGCCGACAGTTCCACGGGAATTGTGCTGTTTGAGGGAATGTTGCATGTTTTTGATACTTTCGTCTAAAAGGCAAAATTGTCATTTTTATATCTGTAAGTTCTAGCCCTAAACATGTGTAACTTTGAAATATTAATTAAACTTTAATAGAATAATTTCTTCATCCACCTATAAGAGATACATGTATAATGTTATGATAGTCCCACATGTTTATACTAAAACTAATAAATACATTTCAATACAAATTTTAAGTGTTTAATGCAATAGAAATGTCTAAGTTGGTTTTTTTTTAAATGTACAGTCAATTTAATTAGTTTGTTACAGAAAAAAGTTTGTATGGTGCTTTTGTTTACTAACAGTACATACATTTTATCAATACATTTAAGACATATTAAATTTGTGTGTACACAACACAAAATATTAAACTGGTAAGACAAGTATTTAAATCTTTCAAAAATCGATATTTCTTCATAAGTGTCCTAGATATTGGACATTTTACTTCCCTGTGCAAATTCCTATCCGACTGTCGATATGTGCATGGTAAGAATTTTCTAATAATCCAATTGCTTATTTACTTTATAACTCAAATTGCATAATTTATTAATTTCTGGTAACTGTCGATGGTAATTACCGCATGACATTTATGATAAAATAAGAATTCAATGTTTCATTTAAACAGAAAGTAGATACATGATAAATTTCACCGTGACTGAAAACAAATGAATCGGAGAATTTGCCTTGTTTGAGCAAAAATTGCTCAGTCTGACACAGTACAAATAGTCTAGATAATATCTCCACTTAGTCTCTTATTTTGGGTTCTTTTTTAAAATCTGCTACACAGAGACTGTAAAAGAAGGGTGTGGTGGCTGAAGTGCTTACTTTATTGAAAAGAGCAGAACAGTTAAATGTTCCTAGTTCAATCAAAAATGTATCTTCTGGAAATATACCAAGCTCAACTATTATGCATTATTCATTCAATGAATCTGAGGGCTGTAGTATAGCCAGGAAAAATCATGTCTACTTGCTCAAACCACTATATTATATTCCTTTTGAACACTATTAATCAATTCACTGGCCTTTAATTATTTGAGGACAAAATAATGATTTTGATAGTTTTAAAAAAATAGAAACCTTTTTTTGTACAAATACAAGTTACAGTGTTGTTTTCAAAATTTTAAAGAAAAGGATGAAAGTTTTATTTGTAGGATTTCAATCTTTTAAAAATAATTTGTATCAAAAAGAAATAATATAGTGCAAATGTATTTGTTTCATGGAAATTTTAGAGTTGTATTTCTTTGAACAGTTTAATATAAAACTAAGAAGATGAGGTATGATTGCCAATGAGACAACTCTCCACCACAGACGAAATTACATAGAAGTTTACAACTATAGGTCACCATACGGTCTTTAACAATGAGCCAAACCAATACCAAATAGACAGCTATAAAATGCTCCCATGTGACAAATGTAAAACAATTCAAACAAGAAAGCTAACGACCTAATTTATGTAAAAAACAATGAACGATATACAAATAGAATAGAATCGAATATACTTTATTCAAATTAAAGGTGTCACAAGGGTCAACATGAGATTATAACATAACACATATTAAACAACTACAAAAAAGCAATGCTGAAGAAAGAAATTACCTGAATGGTAGCATTTGATATTATAAACAGCAACGAACGACAACTACTGAATTACAGGCTCCTGACTTAGGACAAGCACATATAGAATTTTGAAGGATTAAACATGTTAGCGGTCTTCCAACCCTTTTCTTTCCAGGGGCAGTGTTGTAATAGTACAACCTACATAACATTACTTATATATAAAGTTATGTCAGTGACATAGCAGCCAAAATGATACAAAAGCCATACAATTTTTTTTTCTCTTGGCCATTGTCTTCTATCCTTGACTTTTATATCTGTATTGTCTGCCCTAAGAATGTTCACCCTCTACTAACCTATTATGAATACAGCGAATGAGACTACTCTCTATCCAAGTCATAATTTGTAAAAAGTAAATCATTACAGGTCAAAGTACGGCCTTCAACAAGGAGCCTTGGCTCACACCGAACAGCAAGATATAAAGAGCCCAAGAAATGACTTAATAAACCATTGAAACAGGAAAATCAATGGTTTAATCTTTATAAAAACAAAGGAGAAACGAGAAACACTTATGACCCACGACAACAAACAACAACCACTAAGGCCTAGTTGATTATGGGAATGTCAAAGGTAAAAGGCGCAGAACAGTGTTGATTAATTCCCAGATAAGTATGTTCTGTATAATTGTGAATATACATACAAATGTGTAACAGGTTTACTTGTCATTACATATCTGGACATAATGCATCTTTTATGATCATAATATTACCTGTATATATTTATATCTTACAGTAATATTTTTTTACTATTGTATTTATAGCTGTAAATATTTACTTAAGAGAGTATTTTCAGATGTTTTAGATTTAAAGAGATAAAGTAATGGCCTCATCAGTCAAGCACTTTTGTACAATTTGTCTTGATGATGGAATCTCCAACGGAGCCGTCACCTGGTGCACAGTGAGTGAGGTGTTGTTTTGTGAAGACTGTAAAAAACCTCACAGTAAGTCAAGACTGTCTCAGAATCATAAAACCATGTCATCTGAAAATTACTACGAGCTACCTAAATTCATGAAAGAAATAAGCAGTCAGTGCAGAGACCACATGAAGACGTTTGAACTTTATTGTTCTTTTCATGCATGTCCATGCTGTGTCCAGTGCATCACCGATGGACACCAGAAATGTCAAGATCTGAAATCCTTGTCTGCTATCCTAAAGCAAGTAAAGTCATCTGCCTCAGTTCAACTTTTTGAAAAAGATTTGAAGGTTGTGATGGAAAACTTAGATGCAGCCATAAAATACATGAAAACCAGGATCAGTACCATCAGTACTCAGAAAACGAAAGCCGTTGAGGAAATCAAGTATCTGAGGAAGTCGATCAATGATTACTTAAACAAATTAGAGCAAGACATACTTAATGACTTAGAGTCTAAACATTCAAAGCTGAAATTAAACATGGCCACTCTCGTGCAGCAAATGGAACAGCGAGCCAGTCAGATAAACCAAATGCAGAGTCAGTTTACCAAAATGACGCAATATGCAACAGAGCTACAGATGTATATTGGTCTAAGAGAAATTGAGGAAACTACATCACAAACGGCAAAATATGTAGAAGATTTAGAGAGTAGAGACCACTTCATTGAAACGAATCTAGAGGTTAACATTTCATCTGCTCTTCAATCAATTTTACGTGATGTCAAATCCTTTGGAGATATCAATATCAATACCACCTCTTCTACTCTCCAAATAAAGGCCGGTAGAAAAGATCAAGCCCAACATTTAATTTCAAAAGTTCCTGGAATTGAACAAATAAAGCCATCTTTGTTGACAAGACTGACAACTCCAAAAGATATGAAGACTTTAAGTATAGTTGCCTGTCGTATATTACCTGATGGCAAATTTATAATACTTGATTGTAACAAAAAACAACTACTGTTGTTCAGTAAAGATGGCATCTTCATCAGAATAGTAGTTACATTCACACAAAATCCATGTGATGCCTGTTTTTTCAGAAATGATACAGTAGCTGTTTCATTAGGATACGCCAACCAGACAACACTGGTGGATATAGAAAAGAATAAAATTATTCAGACCATCAACCTTTCTCATGATTGTTATGGAGTAGCAAGTGATGGTGAAACTTTTGTCATCTGTACTACTGACAGACAGAGTACTAGAGTGAATCTGAATGACATGTCTCATACAATCTTAGAAGGAATGGAAGGAGTGGAACGTATATCATTATTCCAAGGAAATGTCTATTGGACCATTTCCTCTGAAAACAAAGTATGCTGCTTAAAAAGTACGGGTGAACCTCTGTGGACATTTCAGCACCAGGACATTGACATTCCAGTAGGAATTACATTAGACATGAATGGCTTTGTTTATATAGTTTCTAGTAGAAACAACAGTGTTGTGGTAGTATCTCCAGATGGTAAAACCTGTAAGACCATACTTTCAGAGGCTGATGGAATCGAATGTCCTTATCAAATAGACATAAACAAAGAAACAAGAATTATGATAGTGTCTAGTCAAGTAAGAGAAGATAGCAGAAACCATGACACAGCTTTTGTTTATAAGATTTAACATTTTATTTTAATTTTTGAATGAAAAAATATCTGATATCAAGATCACATCTTCCTTATTAAGGCGTGTAAATAATACATGATTAGAATGCATATTTCTTAATTTTCTAATGATAAAAAGAATTATTTTTCAACTGGATTTCCAAAGGAAAATATCGGCAATTTATCTGGTAATGTACGGCGGACGGTCGGATGGTCGGCTGCAAAAAAGTGTCCGTGTAATTTTTATTTTGTTTCCTGTGAGTTAATGAAGTTCAAGTTTTACTTTCAGGATTATTACCTTTTATCGTTGTTGAGTTGTAGACATATAAGAGAACAATAATACTTAGACTGATTTTGAACTTTCCTGTTCTGAAATCTACAAAAAAAAATCATCTTTTTTTTTAATTTATCCTGTTTTTGGATCAAGATTGGCAAAAACTGTTTTCATGCCGGAAAATTCGATTTGCTGTCAATCTGATAGCCTCTTGTTTCGCAAATCACATTGCATTAAGAATTAAATAAGAACTCAGTAAATATCAAAATTTGATCAACATGCGTTGAAAGCACCTCCAGTATTTACCACCATTAGGACCAAACAATTTCAATGGCAAGTATATCAATAGTTAAAATTTGAACAATATGCATGACAAAAGGACCCAGAACAAGAATAGCCAAACTGAAACTAAAGTCAACTGATCCATGGAAAGGGATAGAAACTTTAGTCTAAATAATGTCTAAATTTATCAATGAATACCTGAAAAAGGTATTTTATAAACAGACATGTGCCAAAATAAGAAATTACAAGAGTGAACACGCTGAAATGTCTTACCTGCTTCATGTGTGCTTTACTGACCATTGAATTTTGTATGTTGAAAGTTTTAAAGATAAAGGTTTAACTACTAGTATTATATAAACTTTACATTTTTAAATATCCAGGACAGTGAGGTGAAGGTCAAATAAATCCTGTCAGACAGACATGTACACCTAACTATAATTCCATACACCAAATATAGTTGACCTATTGCTGACCGTATTTTAAAAACAGACCATACCAAAAACTGAAATAAAGGCAACAGTAGTATACCTCTGCTCAATAGTCATAAATCGATTTACAGAAAACTAATCCGGTTTACAAACTAAAACTGAGGGAAACACATTAACTTAAAGAGGAAAACAACGGAGCAACAAAATCACTGAAGTGCAACAAATGTCAATGGAACATACATAGAAACGAACTATTTGATAACAACTGCCATATTCCTGACTTGGTACAGGACATTTTTAGAAAAAATGGTTGATTGTACCAACAACTTCACATTGACCAATGAACAATGAATATGAGGTCAAGGTCAGATGATACCTTACAATTATTATAAACAGCAAAGATGGTTGACCTATTGTTTATAGTACAGCACATGAAAAACAGACCAAGACACAAAAACTTGACACTGACCAATGAACAATGCAACTAAGGTCAAGGTCAACTAAAACTTGCCAGACTGACATGTACCCCTTACAATCATTATATACACCACATTAAGTTAACCTACTGTTTATAGTATTTGTTAAACAGATGTAATCATGTAATTTTAACCTTGATCACTGACCTATGAAATGAGGTCGACTGGTCGAGGTCAGGTGAACACTGTCTGGCGAACATGTAGACCTTGCAAGGAACCTATATACCAAATATAGTTATCTTGTTACTCATAATAAGTGAGAAATTCACATGACAAAAAAAAACAAAATTATTTTTTCAAGCAGTAGCAGAATCATGAAAATGAGGTTAATGACAATAGACATATGACAGACGGAAATTGCATAACATTATGTATCTGCATACAAGGTATGAAGCATCCAGGTCGTCTACCTTCTGAAATATAAAGCTTTAAAAAATAGTTTACATCGGCGCCGCCGGATAGTAATCCCTTTGTCTCGCATTCTGCGACTTTCTTTGCAGGCGAGACAAAAACGATACTTTAACATGTAAACTATACAAGAGACATATTCATATCTCTAACTATGCAAAGCATTCATAGCCGAAAAACCATACTGAAGGTGCAGGGCTCAACAATCTCCGTGAAAACAAAAAATACCAATGCAATACAACTGAATACCAAATAACATTGACTTATCATGAGTGGTTCCCTTTAAACTGGACTAAACACAAACTGCTTCAAAGTCTATGAACAATGATGAGGATGCGGGCCATACGACCTTCATGGAAATGAAAAAAAAATAATAAAATGAGATGTGTTAATGCTAAAATAAATAGAATTGACCTACCATTAGTGATTCTCCTTAAAATTAAATAATCAAAAATTTTCACATGTAATCTAAGCAAAATTTCCATAGTCAATAGACCACGAAAAATGAGCCTCCTCATTGGGTTTTTGATTATGTGATTACATGGCCGTTTTTATAGTGATTATCTGATTACCAGACTAAATATTTCATGATTAATTGATTATTTGATAATCTAGGACGGTATTTTTGATTATTTGATTATCTTGTTTAAAAAAATAATTAATGATTATGTGATTATATTGGCAAACAAATTGTGATTATGTGATTACTTGGACACCCCCATGAGGGGCCTCAAAAATTGATTGATGATGCAGGAATAAATAATCTCCATGGAAATGAGATGTGCCAATGCTAATACCAAATATCATTGACCTATTACTACCGATTGCCCTTAAACTGAGATATGACAAACTTTCACATTTAATCTAAGCAAAATGTACATAGTCAATAGACCATGATTGAGGATGCAGGGCCAAATGGTCTGGCTTAAACGACCATTAATTACTATTAAAACTGTGCAAAGATACCTATATTTTGGCATAGCACAAGGTCATGTTTTTCTCTGAGTGTTAATGACGTCTTTTCACTAAATCCATTGGTTGTTGGATGTGTACTGATTGACATTTTAGTCTTAGATACATGATACCTGATATTTTTCATAAGTTGTTATTGGCTTTGAACTAGCTATCAGTAACTGCGAGTACTCTCAGATCTGTACTTAGCGTCTTTTTTGTTGTTAGTGATGAGTGATGGATAAATACTATGCCACGTCTAGTCTGTGTTTTTCTGCTTTGTATCGATCTGATGAGTTGAGCCTTTTTCAACTGATTTTTATTATTTGTTCTTATGTTGTGCTGTTACACCACTGTCCCAGGTTAGGGGAGGGTCGAGCGCTCACAAACATGTTTAATCCCGCCATATTCTTTATGTGCCTGTCCCAATTCAGGAGCCTTTAGTTCAGTGGTTGTCGTTGGTTCATGTCTGTCATATTTGTTTTTCATAAATTGTTTTGTTATAAAATAGAGGCGAAAGATACCAGAAGGACATTCAAACGTAATAAATGATGCCGTTAGTTTTCTCAATTAAATATTTACATGTTTTTCATGTCGGATCCTTTTATAGCCGACTATACGGTATGGGTTTTTTTCATTGTTGAAGGTCGTACGGTTGCCTGTAATTGCTTACATCAACTTCATTTGAACTTTGGTGGATTGTTGTCCCATTGGCAATCATACCACATCTCCTTATTTTTATAAAGAAAGACAACTCATGTGTCTATGAAACAAGTACATTTGCACTATATTATAACCTTGCGGAGCACTTGAAATCATCCCCAGTTTTGTCCGGGATTCTTGTTGATCAGTCTTGAGTTTTCCGTTTTGTTTTTGTTTTTTGGGTTTTGTTTTTTGTACTGTTGTTTGTCTGGTTTGTCTGTCTGTCTTATTCATTTTTTAGCCATGGCGTTGTCAGTTTCTTTTCGACTTTTGAGTTTGAATGTCCCTCTGGTTTCTTTCGTCTTTCTTTTTTATATTCTAGGTTAGCCTAATATTGTTATAATCACAAAATTATTTTAATATGCATCTGTATTTTATGCATCTCATAAACTCAATTCTAATATATAAATAAACAAATAAATATTCTGTTCCCATGCAAAAATATACTTCTACATGAATACAAGTAATTATCATTACAATATCTACAGACAGCAACTAATGAAAATAAGCAAATTACTACATTTTAAAACTACACAATACAACGGTTTGCTTACCTCAAGTGCTAATTTGAAGGTCACAAACAATATATATGATAATCTGTACATCACATCATGGTCACATCATAAATATTAACCTGAAAATAAATATGCATTAATTTTATAAACTGATGTGTTCAGTGTTTTAATATGACATCATAATACGAACAAAAAATAAACATACAAACTCTGTTCACTCAAATGCTAAAAATAATGGTATTTAACCAATTAATTCTTCTTCTTCATACTTCTTCTTCTTCTTCTTGAACATGTATGAAATATTTGTCACTGGACGTTAAGCAACCACCAGTCAATCAATCTTCTACAATATAGTGACCGCCTAAAACAAACTGAAGATAACTAGTATGTCAAAGGAGGATAACTTACAACAAGACACAGATTAATATATATACAAATTAAACATAGAGGAAAGATGAAAATTAAAATGTACTGTGATATTACTTCTTTCTGTTTTATCTATTGATTAAGGTTATTTAATATTTCAATTATTATTCATCAAGCTCTAATGACTTTAAAGCCTTTTATGGTAATCTAATTGTATTTGTCATTCTTAAAGATCTTATTCACACTACGCTTTATGCCAAATCTTGCACATTATGTTAAAATCTCTAAGACTATTAAAATAAAGTTAAAAAAATATACACAACTGACCTGTGGAGTAAAATTGATGTTTCCCCAAGAAATAACCAAAGCAATATAGCAATTCAGCAATCTATCATGAACCTGGAATTTTACACTTTGCCAATAAATTTGTCTGCTCAGTAAGTAAATCGAAAAGAGTGAGCAAACAATAGAAATTTCCCTCCAAAAGTAACATGTAACAGAGCTATAATTAAGAATCTAAATATAGAAATCAAGGTAACATAGATAAACAGGTAAACTGGTCAGTATAACAGTATCTATATTTTTACTTCTTTTTTACCAGATCCCACTTCTTATTAACCCCTACATCCCAACTTTTTTAACCATTATAACCCATATCCCAAAATCGTGTCATCCCCTCATTCTCAGTGAATAGACCACTTTCGAGTTTGTCCTTCACCGGAAAAAACTCGTCAATTATGCGCGCCTTTATGACGTCATTTACCAGATAGAGGGGATCGCCTGTATCCCTGCACTATTAACGTTTATCAAGAGTCTAAGTGATCGTCATTGTGCAGGATAAACTAGAAATAATGTTTGTTCTGTAGGTACTTAATCACAATTCCCTCATGACAGCAGTGCTGATCGTCAATTATGAGAATTCAATTTGCCGAATAATTCGTGCAATATAGCATCATAGTTTTCCAACCACTCGCTCAACATGGGATCGGAAGTGACGATGCCCCTAAACGCACGAATGATCTTCACTAAAACCAAAGTTTTTGACGGAAATGCATCGAACTCGAAAGTTGTCTATTCCATTTATCCAGGATATTTGGAATGTAACTGTTTTTATAACATGAAGTACGATACAGTGGAGTTGTAAATTCTCTTCGGTGTCGACAATTTTACTGTACACTAGTATTTATAAGGGGGAGACTATTTAATTTTAGGGGGGAGGGAACAGGGGGATTTTGATAATGAATATCCTGGCCTAGTAAGAGATGAACATAAAAAAACCTTGCATAAGACAGGCTGAAAATGAATATTCTGCAACACAAAATGCAGCAAACAGTCGGGGGAAAAAAGCATGCGTAGCAACAGATGAAAAAACGTTACTCGGCAAAATATTATTCTGCCCCCTCCCCAGAATATCAAATATTGGTTAAATAGCTTTAAAAATGGTCATATTGTGAAATTAATCCTTGATTAAATGTTCATACTTCTTTATTTGTTGTTACACAC